AGTCAAGGGTGCAGAAGAGGGCGGGGCAAGTGGTGATTTTCTCCTGCACTTTCTTAACTTTACATTAATGACATTGCGAAGTCACGCTTTAGACAAGTTTACATTGGTTCTGAGTCCATGGGACAAGTGAGGACACTGAGGCTGAGAAGTGGAAGGCGTGTTGAACGGCAGGGCCAAACAACCTGCTGCCGGGTACCGAAACTTCAGGGTCTGCATTCCCAGACCTCCTTGGATCTGTGGGCATAGGAAGCAAGGCTCCTGCAGCATTCACTGTAGCCCACCGCATCCCACCCAGTACACCTGAAGGAAGCTCCTTGGAGGAGGAGCTCCGGACGCAGAGGAGGAGCCAGGGCAGCACCTGAGAGCTCAGGACACAGTTTTTCTGGATAAGAGGCAGAGCCTGGTAGGGCAGAATGATCCAGGGACAGCCTCAGGGGAGACAAGCAGATCTTGTACGTGGAGTTAGTGGTGCTGGACATCATCGATGTGGTGGACAGATACCCGGAGGAGGACGCCGACACCAGGTAAGGGCGCCGGGAACCCTTGGGGAGCCCGGGGCACACCACACTTCCGTGCTTGTAACTGGCTGGAAGTCATGAGAGTCCAGCCTTCAGAACAGATCCATGCCCTCTACTTGGAGAACCTGGGGGTGGGAGGGTTGGATTCTTAGCGGGAGCGAAGAGGAAAGGGTTGAGAGCTTTAATAAGAGGTAAGATTTGCAGAACTTGGTGTTAGTTAATTTTTGTGTCAACCCCACCTGAGACAAGCATTATTATCCCTATTAATGATAATCAACAAGTGGAGGCTGTGAGAGATGAGATTAATCCAAGGGCACACAGCTAGTAAGGGTCTGGACTAGTTTTTGTTTTTGAATGTCAAGACCCATGCACTTACCTCTCCACCAACATTTATTTCTACTTGAATACATATATGTATATTAGTATCACCTGTTTCTTAAAATGATTTCAGGTAGCTTACAGTAAGAGGTGGAATCGTGGTGTGGCGCTGTAGGCTAATGCGTCAGACTGTATAGTCGTTTGAACTGCAGTGTCAGTGGTTCAAGCTCACCAGCTGCTCCTTGGAAAACCTATAAAGGGCGGCTATGGGTGGGAATTGACTTAACGACTCTTAACAACAGTAAGAGGTATGTGCAATTAGACTGTACAAGGGACATTTAAAATTCTGGT